TTTCCCACTGGCGACCGAAGACCAGTGAGAACAACCCCCAACAGAAGCCAGGCGGTGTTAACTACAGTGAGAACCAGAGCCCTCCACCCGTCAGTGCCCAATCCTGCCACAAGGCTACATAATCCTGGAACCTAGACAAAACTCTAGATAAATCTTTTTTTTTTTTGGCAGGGGATGAGTAGAATAATCCTGAATTGAATGAAATAAAGTTTTCACTAGGACTTGAAACGGAATTAAATCCAATTTTCAAAATGAGGTTGGTTACATTTCTGGCACACAGGCCCTGAGTGCTGTGGTCTCCCTCTTACTATACAGCTTCTAGTTCATCCTGACACTGGCCCTCAAGGGTCATTGGTCTAAAATAGGGGTCATCAAATTACAGCTGCGTCCAATGGGCTCAATTCAGCCCATTGCCTGTTTTGTGTGTGTGTGTGTGTGTGTGTGTGTGTGTGTCTGTGTTTTAATTTTCCTGCCTACTTTTTATCAGCTAAGTAAAACCAGAGCCATGCCCTTTCTCCGCATGGCTGCATTTGCAGAGTCGCCTAATTGCAACAGAGGCTGCTATGGTGCAAAGCCTAAAACATTTACCATCCGTCTCTTTACAGAAAAAGACTGCCAACCCCTGGCGTAGACCATGCGCTCTGCCTGGCGCCATCTCATGTCCTCCCTTGCACTCTGGTTCTCTGGCTGTCACCAGGGGGGCAAAGTCTCAGATCAAAATCAATGAAAAAGCTCTGCCTCCTTTCTCTGCTCTTAAAACTGTATCTACTTCCAGACCCAACGTTTCCTTCCCAAACTCCCCCGAGCATTGGCTCTCTTTTGACCACTTTTCTGTCCCTTCTTTGTCCCCTGTGACCCTGCACTTCCCTGGTAGCCTCCTATCCTGACTTCTAGTCTATATCCTTTATGGGCATCTCCTCCCTGCCTGCCTTTAAAGTCAGTGTCTCTTAGGGTTGTCCTCGACACCCTGGTCGTACTCTATCCACCCTGCCACACCCCTGAACTCCTCTCAGTAGGACCAGGTTTCACGACAGTCTTCACCTGTAAGGAGGTGAGCTGGCCCAGGTTACTGACTTTTGGGGTTTATGTCCTTGGCTTGGGCTATAGCGGTACCTTAACACCTAAATGAGCTCTGGATTTTCTTACTTTGGCCACTGAATTAGTCAATATTAGCCTTGAACAAATAGCTCAAAGAGTGGAATGATAACTTAGTGGGCAAGCAATAAAAGGCACCGTGACCTAGTGGGTGAACAGCAGAGACTCTGGAGTCAGACTTACAAGCTGAAGATTTGAGGCTCCACCCCCTACTCGCTGAGAAGCCCTGAGTAAGCTAATTAACCTCCTGTGCCTCACTTCCTTCATCTATAAGATGGGAATAAGGTATGAGAATTAACAAGTTGACTCCTGAAGTATAGTAAATATGTCTCATAAACTACCAGCACCGGCCTCCAAATCTCAGCTTCTCTTTGCTTCAATATGTTTGTTCTTCACCCTAAAAGAGCCACAGTGACACCTACTTCCCACAGTTGCTCTAAGGACCCGGGAAAATATTTGTAGCATTGACATGCCATTGGCACAGAAATTTATAGGTTCAAATTTATAACGGGATTTTTCTTTTGAATCAGATTTTCAGAATACATTGTACGTCTTGCCAAGAGCTACTCATGTTATTTTCTATTTCTCTCCAAGTAGGAATCATGACTTGGTTAGACTGTGTGTGTTTCCAGTCAACATTTTTATCCATTGAATTTTCCTCTAGATGACTGGAAAGCAGCATCCCTCCTTTAAGAATTTCACAATCGCAACGCAAAGCCGAGCTACTTGACCAGATAAGTCAACTCAGGTGCCTTTTAGGTTATGAACTACGTCAGTAGTTCCCAAACTTTAGCAAGGAGAGCTTGTTAAATGATAGAATCTTCAGCCCTGTTCCCAGAAATTCTGATTTAGTAGGTCTTGGGCATCAAATTTCCTTCTGCCACAACTTCCCAAGTGATACTGAACTGATACTTCTGGACTGAGGATCACACTTTGAGTAGACTCGTCCACACAGACAAGGTGGACAGGCTTTTGGATGCGAGTCAATATCAAATAGAATAAGTCTTGCCAAACAACTGATAATGGGTCTGGGCATCAATATTTATCAAGCTAAGCAAAAAATAGTCACACTAGCACTATACTCGATGTTAATAGAGTCTAAGACCATCACAACAATAACGACAGGCATTTATGAGTTTTGGCTGTGTACCAGACTTTTTTCTAAGTCCTTCACACATACTAAATTTATTTTTATATTTTTATTTTATGGATCTCTTTAAAAATTAATAATAGCACTCTCTGGACCATCTATCTCTATGGGCATCTTATACTGCCATTCAAACTAAATGCCCTCATTTTTGTTTGTGTCCATGAACTCATTAATAGCAAGAGGGATGATTTATTTGTCAGGAGCTATGAAAAAGTAGCAAACATAAACTTATTATGCATGGATGTCCTCAGCTCAGGGATGGCCAGATGGTACCGTAGCTGAACCACGGTTTGAAAGAACCAGTCATCTGAACAGAGAAAAGCAGGGGGAACTGAGGCCTCGTGTGACCTGGGGCATAGGCATGCCACACCCAGAAGAACCTGTGCTTTAGTCACAGTTTGAGCAACAAAACCACATAATATAAGCCATCTATTATTTTACTGATTTAATAGTGGTGTTTGTATTGAATATTAAAAAATAGCATAAGGAATTTAATAAGAGCAATTTGAATCAACATGGCTCACTTCAAGAAAGTGTCCAGGCAGCTTGGTTGGTTGGAGCATAGTCCAAAAAGGTTTCGGGTTCGGTTGCCGGTCAGGGCGCTTACCTAGGTTGTGGGTTCGACCCCTCTGTCCAGGCACATACGGGAGACAACCGATCAATGTTTCTCTCTCTCTCTCTAAAAATCAATAAAACCATATCTTCACGTGTTAAAAAAAAAAGAATGTTTCTTTCCTTTAAAAAAAAAGAAAATTATTCCCTGAATTTTGCCCAAAATATGCCATTCTATACGCTTCATCTTCTGGTCCTCATTTTGCCTCCAGAAGAACAGACCCAGCCGCTTTTTGACTAGAGCTAATGCAAAGCTCTTTTTCTTTTTTTGCAGGTCAGTCGTTGATTTCTCAAACTTACGTGTAGAATTTTTTTTAAACCCAACTTTCAGACTGGTCATTTGGAAACTATTTTATTTTTTTTGAACCTATTAGCTATTCCTCCCTGCTTTATTTCAACTCTCTCTTTTTTAAAAAATTTCAGCTTTTTGGGTTTCTTTTTTTCCAGCTTTATTGAGATATAATTGACATAAAACGTATGTAAGTTTAAGGTGGGTGTGCAACTTACATTACTGCGAAATGATGACCACCACAGCCTTAGCTAACACCTCCACCAAGTCACATCCCTACCATTTCTCTCCTGTGGTGAGAACATTTAAACCTACTCTCTTAGCAACTTTCAACTTCCTCTTTTTTTTTTTTTTCCAAAGTCCTCTGCTTTTCAGAAAGTGGAAGAAAGAGAGAGAGAGAGAAACATCAATGTGAGAGAGACGCATTGACTGGCTGCCTCCCGCACGCGCCCCAGTCAGGGCTGGGGATCGAGCCTGCAACCGAGTACGTGCCCTTGGCCGTATTTGAACCTGGAACCCTTCAGTCTGAGCGCCGACACTCTAACCACTGAGCCAAAACGGCCAGTGCCAACTCCCCCCTTTTTTTTTTTAACTGTCACAGAGGCAGATTTCCATCTCCAAATCTCTGCCTGCTCAAGAAAAAAAAATGCCACCAAATGTGGGGACTGAAGGGTATTATTTACTTTTATTATTTGAAGGGATGAAAGAATTAAGTAGCGAAAAGAGTCTGAATCTATTTTTACAAAGTAAAGTGATATATGCTAAGTACCAACAATGATCGTGGATTTTCATATGTCATTCAAACAACATTTATTCTGCACTTACTGTGTAGCAGGCACTGCACTGGGTTCTATGGGGAGCAGTAGAGCTGAAGACATAATCTATGCCTTCAAAGAATTTACAAACTCTCTTTCACCTACACAAGCTTGACTCTCCACAAGGAGAATAAGAATATATTAAAGGCCGTAAATGAGGTCTTTTAAATTTTCTTTATAGATCTTTAAATGTGGGGCATAAACACTACGTTATGTTTTAAAAATCTAATGACATCACCAAGTTTTTAAGGGGTGACTAATGTGGTTTTTATTTTACACAATCTGATCCTTTGAACTTTCAAAGATTTGAAATGTCCTTGAGCCATTTTTATGTGACTGTTTATTTTTTTTGGCAATCACTGGCATCTGGGAACCCGAGTTTGGCACACCACCCAATAGCTTCTGCCCAAGGGCAGCTCTTATTCAGCTTCCCATGTCACAGAGTGCCCGATGCATGGCAGGCATTCCTTAAATATTTGCGGAATGAAGAAATACAAAGATAAATGGGTTAACCTACTGGTCCACTCTGTCCTTTCCTCTGCAGTTTTACGAACTTACTACCCGTGTCCTTGTTGGGAGAGTAATCACATAGGACTTTACGTGGAGTCGTTTTTACATGTCATGTATTATATTTCACTTGTTCTAATTTCATTGATCCCCCCACCCACACACAGCATCTCACAGGTATTCCCTGCTAAATAAAATATCTATTGAAATAAGCTATTATTTACTTCCTTCTTTCTTAATCTGAAAAGAGGTAAGTTCCAGTTTCTTTTTTTAAAAAGCAACAACAAAAACAAGCAAGGCCCGCAATCCTAAATTTCTTAACTACGTGTAAGGTTGTGGAGAGGAGAAAGGTGACACACCCAAGCTAAACAGCCTAGAGACCCATGACATCCCGACACAGGTGAGGAGATAGGAGGAGGCAGGAGGAAATGGGAAGTTACCTGAGAAAAGGGAAGGATCCAGGGTGAGGGGTTTCAACAACCAACAGAGCAGACCCTTAACGAGGAGGACACGGCCGGCCAGAGATGCTCACCTTTGCAGCCCTCGCAGGTCAGCGCGTTATAATGGTATCCGGAGGCCCTGTCTCCGCAAACCACACAGAGCTCATCTCCTCTCACCCTCCCCGCCGGCGCGCCCAGCCGGGCCTTCTTTGCCACGGGAATCTCTGCGACCTCAGTCTCTCCCTGGTAGAGGGTCTCAGCCGGCATGGGCTTGAGTTCATATATCCCGGGCGAGTACCACTCTTCAGGCTGCTGGGGGTAGAACCCCAGGCTGGGATAGTAGGGCGATGGGGAAATCTGCGGCTGAACTTGAGGAAACTGGATGTTGCTGTATTGTGAGTATGACTCCACTTCCAGGCTCTGCCCCAGGGGGCCTGCCGCTGGCTCTGTGAGGACACCTGCACGACAGCAATGATAAAACTGGAATTAGCTCATCAGTCTGCAAACGACAGAGGCGGTTTGGCACCCAGTGTGTGTGTTTAGGAGGGTGGGCTCTCAGAAGAGACTGAACTGATTAAGCAAATAAAAATGAACAACTTTTTTTTTACATTAAAAAAAGCTTACGTAGAGATTTAAATGACTAAATTACAAGCTCAGGAAAATAGTCATATCGTTAATATGTAAAGAGCTCTTGCAAACCAGTAAGAAAACGCTCAACATAGAGAACAAACAGGAATGTTTTTTTTTAAAAAGAAAAAACAAAAAAGAATATTGGGGGGGGGGAAGCATTCACCATGTAAAACATTTAACATTCCATGGACAAAGGATAAAGGACATGAATGGTCAGCTTTTAGAAATAAAAACACAAGAGTGTTATAAAGATATAAAAATGTGCTCCTTCTTGTCAATAATTAAATTTAAGTGGAAAAAACTACAATAGAAAATAATGCAGTGTTCACCCTTAAATATATAAAGGTTAAAAAAGTTTGACACATACTCTTGAGAAAACAAAATTCTTGGAGGGCAATTTGTCAATACCTTTCAGTATTTAAAACTCAAATACTCTTTTAACCCAACAATCCCCTGCTAGAAAATTCATTTTAAAGATATGCCTGCATCTGAATGAAAACAATGCTTGTGTAAAGTGTTCATTTGCAGCAATTGCAAGCACCATAAATCGAAAATGATTTAAATATCTATCAATAGGAGTCTGGTTAAGTAAACTATATTATGCCCGTACACTGAAATACTACGGTAGATGTGAAATAATAATTTAGATCTAAATGTGCAGATATGGAAAGGTCTCTACAATAGGGTGCTTTTTGAAATAATTAAGCTATAGAATGCTGTGTACATTTATATGAGTATTAGAAAACACTGTGTGTATGTGAGGCGATTTTTTGCACAGTACTAAAGGAACTGGATGATGGCGACTATGGGAGGTGAAATTGTTGCTTTGTTTTCTGGGGTGGGAGATTGCACAATCTTTTTACTATTTGTAATTTTGCCGTGTATGTGTGTTACTTTAATTACTAGGAAACAGGAGAGAAGCTTTTAAAAAAGAATGCAGTACCTGAAAATAGTCTACCTGGGCTCAAATCCCGGCTCTTTTATTACTTACTATCTGTGCATGTGGACAGTTTACTTAACATCTTTAAGTCTCAGTTTTCTCTTTATAAAACAGGGTATAATACCTACCTCATTCAGCTGAGGTAAGGATCAAGCAAGATAATGTATGCAAAATGCAAGCGCCCTGCAAACATGTGCACATATAAAGTGCCAGATAAATTATAGCTGCCATCAAAATAGGCATAATCATTATTCCTACTGCCATTATGAAATGAGCCCCTTATCTATAAAACCTCTAGGTAATGGAAATCTATCAGGTTGTGAAAATGCTCCTATTTTCTAGAAACATAAACTATGGCTCTTTAGAAAATAGCGGTGTTTAAATTACACAACACACTAAAAGATTTCATGGACATGAGTGAGATCTAGGAGAGCATACAAATGTTCTGATTCTTCAGAGCACAGGCAGGCACCCCCAGACCAAAATTCCACGAGACTTTGAGCAAACTGCTAAAGCTACTGAGAACCCCAGTTTCTGCAGCAGTGGGCTTGGGGTGAAAAGCTCTGTATCCAGGGCTGCTGAAGATTGAGAGAATGCAGGTCCACACCTCGTCAGAAACCCGTGGAGTCACCTGTGTTTTCAAGTTCAGAGTAACTTGGAGTTTAGGACAGAATGCCATGCTCTTCCTCCCAGCCTGGTGGGGGCAGAGCTCGGCATCAAACAGCAATTCTTCCCATGGAACGAGTAAAGGTCCTAAATCCCCACGTTCACTCAGGTCAGGTTTTTGCCATGGAAGAAGTGTGTGCCACATTTGGAAAGAGTGCTGTTTTCAGAGGGCCTGGAATTTGGAACTGGCAGTTAGGGATTGCGGGCCTACTCATCTACATGTGTACAATGCTCCTCACGGAGCTCAAGAGATGGTTGTGCTATTATGATCATTCCTGTTACGGTTAGAAATCTTCATTAGAGAGTTCTCCCCGGTGCCAGGCACTTGCATATCTTCTCTATCTTCTCACAAAATCCTCTGAGGTAAGTGACACTGTTACCCCACTTGCAGGAGTAGCCTGTGGCATCGGGAACTTGGGCAACTTGACTTCTGCCTACTTGAGTGGCTGAGCTTTGAACGTTGGGAGTCTGACTTCAAAGCCCATGTGCTGAACTGCTTCTCTCTAGGAAAATTTCTGCTGTGTGATGCCGTCGACTGAGCCTGATTTAAAGCCTTCCTCCTTCCCCTCTCTGCACTTGACGTCTTTGGTCCCTCCAATGCTTCTGCTTTCAGATAACCTACAACCGTGCCCGCAGGGCTCTGCGTGAGCCTCTCTTTCTCAGCCCTTCCCTGAGTGATCCTTGCTGACTCCAGACTTGGGAACTTCCCCACGTCCTGCTTTCTGAGCCTGGCACTTCCCTCAACACAGCCGTCCCCTCTGACCTCTAAATTTCCCTTAAGGATAGTTTCTCTTGGCAGTTTTCCCTGACTCTAAGTCCCTGGGAGTCCTGGCTCTGAATCTGGTTATATGGCACTCACCTTCCCTGCCTGAGCCAACCTTTGCTCATCTGTAAAGAGAAGACTCGGCGCTGGATCATCTCACAGTCCTTCTTTATATCTAAGATCTCTATGAGTGTATGACTAATGGTCCACGGGCATCCGGATTCAGGGCTTTTGGACAAGCAAAGTGGCTTACGTGAGTATTTAACGTTTGTTGAAAAGATCGCATTCTGCATTGACCCAGGAAATGATTGAAGGAGCACAAAGTATACAATTTTGGTGCAAACACCAACTTCCTCTCTTTCGTGCTTGACTTAACCATATAAAACCAGCATTGGGCCAGAGCATCTGACAGACACAAGGATTTGTCCAACGACCAAAAAATGGAAGAATATAAAAATATGGAATTGTAACAGAAAAAAAGAAAATATATGAATAAAATCCTGATGTATTCAGTAATTCAATATGACTCATATTTCTGGAGTGAGTAGAATGGAAGAGAAGTCAGCCTTAAAAACAGTCTCATTGGCACGTATATCTATACATTGCATCCTCCAAACCATCTCACCCCCAACCAGCTCTGCATCCCCTCCCCCAAGGGACAGGTTCTCTCCACCAACACTTCCAGGAAAGTTAAGCAACTTGCTGGAGGCCAAACAAGCAGTTAAGGACAGAATCTGGATTCTGCAGAATCCAGGGAAAGGTGTGAGTTTTTCTCCTCACATGGCAATTCCAGGGTCTCTGGGCATTGTTTCAACAAAATAAATCTTTTAATAACCAAGAGAAACAATGGAGTCCCAACACAAGTCAGATCATGGTATCGATATCAAATCAACCTCTGCAATCATCTCGATTACAATGGAAAGCTTTCACAAAGACAATTCTACTACATGCAAACAACAAAACATGAGAAGAATATGAGATCAGTACATAATATTTATTAAAGTAACAAATAACGCCTCTATTCCCAAAACATATCTACTTCTAATATTTCACAGTGTCCCCGCCAAATCTCTACAGAGTAGAGACAATAAATATACAGACAACTTACAATAAAACCCCCACCATGGCCAACATATTCCAAAATGGGGTAGAACAACTTCTACTGTGAACTGACTGTGAGACCTTGAACTACGGCCTAGCATTCTTGACTCAATTTCTTCTGTAAAATGGGGTATTAACACCCAGTCTTGCGATCTCTTAAGGTAGCTCTGGGTATAAAATACAGCCATTGAGGAGAAGTTTTGATCAGTTGCGTGTGATAAAAATATGTTTGTTTCCTGAAGAACCTAGAAAAATCCTGACTCTAAGGACAGCTGATAGTTAATTAGCAATTGTTAATACTTATCCATCTGTTTTGATGACATAAATTGTAGGATACTTTTTCACATGGATACATATATTGAACACTTACTATTTGCCAGACACTGTGCTAAGCTCTGAGGATAAAACGCTAAATAAGACAGATAGACAACAGACAGAAAAGGCCACAGTCTTTCTCGTGTGTGTGTGTGTGTGTGTGTGTGTGTGTGTGTGTGTGGTGGGAGGGGGAAATGTCAAAGACTGGGATAAAACCAAGTAAACAAACACAGAATTTTCTGATAGAGCCTAAGCTGTGGAGGGGATAGCGGTAGTAAGTCAAGTTTAGAGTATGCTTCCTGAAAAATTAAATTTATTTCTACTTTAGTATAATTTAAAGGGTAACCCTTTATAATGTAAAAGGATATATATATATATAAAATTTTGAATTTGTGTTTCTTTGGAATCAGTCTATTAAAGAGTTGGAAAATTTGGATTCCTTACTCCAGGAAATTCTACATGAATGGGAGTATGAGAGCTGAGAGAAGAGTTTCCCAACGGGAACACTTGAGTGGACGCAGGGGAGTCTGAGACTCCCGCCAAGGGAAGCTTGAGTCTCCTGGGTAGAGAGACTAGCAGTTCGTAGTTTCTCTAGAGGAGCGCCCCCTACGGGAACTTTGAGGTGCTGGAAGTGTTCTATACCTATCTGCACACTCGCCACTAACCACATGGAATACAGAGCACTTGAGACAGGGCTAGTGATCACGAAGAAATGAATTCTTCATTTAATTTTAAATGATCGAAATTTTAACTTAAATAGCTACACGGGGCTAATGATACCATATTAGTGCAGCTCTAAGGAGTCCGTGGTCAGAGCCACTGTCTACTTGAACGGTTCCTGTAATAACAACGGCACCTTCCCATGTTCGCACAGCTTCTGAGCCTGATGAAGGGTCCAGGTTTTCTGTTGTTGTTGTTTTTTAATTTATCTTTATCGTTGAAAGTATTACAGATGTCCCCTTTTTAAGGTTTTCTCTGGTTTTTCATTTCCGGCACAATGCAGACCACGGTAAATAAATCATGACTGTTTGTTAAAATGTTTCATGAATGGGCAAGTTGCCTTCTCTGCCCCATTTATTTCCTAATTCATGGTCTCTAAGCTGTGCGATACAGCTCATTTGGGGAGCTGTTTGCTTTCCCCGGTGCCGGGCCTTTGTGATGTTGGGGCCTCTCCTCGGCTGGGCAGCCTGCCACCTCCTCTGTGAGGTCTGTCCGAGCTCGCCTGGGTGGAACTAACCTCTCCTAGACTCTGCACACGCCTCTACTCCAGCACTTAGAAGCCGGTGACAACCCTTTGGGTTCATTTACAGGCTTATCTTCCACTCTAAACTTGAGGTAAAATGACCTACTGGTTACGAGGGTCCTACTGCATGGCCAGCTCTGGATTCCACTCACCCACAATTTGCTAGATGTGTGAACTTGGGAAAGGCATTGAACTTCTTTAATCTTCTGTTCCTTCCTCTACAAACTTGGAGTAACAGAGTACACAGGTGACCGGTTGTAGCAGATAGAAACTAAGACCAAGAATGTAAACAGTGTAGTGCCCGACGCAGCATTAACGTTCAACGCGTTTTTTGTCACTGTTGTGGTTAGCCTGTGATCTCTTTGGAGAATTGCATTATACTATGTTTCCTTTTTTTAATTCCTGGCACCTTACACAAAGCCTGACACAATGTAAGTGTTTAATAAATGTTAAATAGAAATAATAAAAAATTTGCTTCCCCAGCATTCAACTCATTTCCATTTCTAAATACAGTGTCAGTCACTGTTAAACATCACGTTGAAACAAGCTAGAAAGCTGCCAAGTCCATGGTCACAAAAGGTTCAAAATTTTAATTATTGTAAAAAATGATTGGAGTTTCTCTTTTAACTGGAAAATTTAAAAGGAAAGACACTGCTTGAGAAGAATATTAAAACAGGCAAAATATACTGTCTTCATTCTAATCTATGTTTTACTATGATCCGTGTTTTACTGCAGAGAAAACAAATATGCATAGGCCTAAAGCTGAGGTCTTTATTCATCTGATTTTCCATAGACTATTAGGATAAATATGCAGTGAAACTAGTTCCAAAAATAAGAATTTCTCAGTCTCTTTTTATTTTTATCCCTGTAACCCACAGTTTAAAATATATCTTATATCTTGACCTCTGTAAGCACTTATACATATATATATGTAACTGAAACAAAATTTCAGTGAAGCAACACTTATCTCCTTGAGGTGCACACTGACATTTCTATTCCACTCTATTCTTACTCTATTCTACTCTACTTCTCTTCCACCCCATTCCATTATTTTTTAATGTTGGTCACAAGCCACAAAATAGATGTCATGACCCACCACATTAAATAATATACTTTTTATATTTCAAGTGTCCACAGGCATCAATGTTAGAACTGCCTACTGTTTCACTTGAAACAGTGGTGCTAATTTTACATAATATCCCATGAAGAACTTTAGGGGACACATACTTAGAGTTCCTCTCAATGAAATAGTCACCTCTCTAGGACCTTATAACAATCACCCCACCCCAACTTCTCACCCCCAACTGCTGGTTCTGGCTGAGCCATCCTCAGCAGAGATCTGCTGCTGTCACCTCGAATGAAAGTCCCCCACGTTTCCTCAGCCCAGCTGCGGAAGATTGGCCAAGAGCCCCTGTGAGCAGTGTCCTACCTTTCGCAGGCCTCACGCTCATCATTTCCAGGACGGATCCTGACGACACGCAGCTGTGGCAAGGGCTAATCTGGACTGGATTTTCTAACTCCTGAAACTGCATTACCATTCTTACCTTATCCCAGCAACTGAAAATGAGACTAGGTAAGAAGTGACAGAGGCCAGAGGTTGGGCAGCTTACTGATTAACTTCATTACTGAGCAGAATATTTGTAAATGTTTATGAGAAAAGTCCTCGATGCCAAATTGCCTAGTAAGCTGGAAACCAGTCTCTTAGATAAACATTTTGGGGAGCACTTTCCCCTTAAAGGAATTTTAGACTGTAGATTTCTGTTCAGTTGCTCTAAAAGTGAACCCGGGAAGTCAAATGCCATGCTCTAGGTCTTCTAATTTGTTCCTTTCAAAAGGCTCCAGAATGGTATAGTTTTGTAACATCAGAAAGCATTAAAGTGTGATGCTTAACAGTGTGAGGCCAATTGATCTAGATTTATATCCAGTGTTACGGGGGAATTGTGTGCCCCCCTAAAGTAATATGAAGTTCTAGCCCCAGTCCCCCAGCAGATGACATTATTTAGAGACAGGGTCTTTATAGAGGTAATCAAGTTAAAGGGAGATCATTAGATTGGTTTCTAATCCCATAGGACTGGTGTCCTTATATTAAATGGAAATTTGGACACTGAGACAGACACACATTGAGAGAAGACATTGTGAAGACACACAGGGGTAAACACAGTCATCCACCAACCAACGCTCTCCAGGGCCCTCCACAGTCAGGAACATAGATTCTTCCCTGACAGCCTTCAGAAGGAACCAACCCTGCCAGTACCTTGATTTTGCATTTCTTGCCTCCAGTCCGGTGAAACAATACATATCTGTTATTTAAGCCACTCAGTACGTGGTACAGCTTTAACAAACTAATACCTTCAGGCTCTCTTGGCATTCACTGGCTCTGTGGACCATGGACAAATTCCTGAACCATGTTCTGCCTCAGTTTCCTGAGAATCACACAACCTCATAGAATTATTATGAGAATTAAATAAAATAATATTTATAGAATGCTCAGCACAATGGGTGACTGTCCATCTTCATTGTATTGATGATATGATTACTCAGCTTTGGGCTCATGTTTTAGGGTGGCTTGCATATTGAGTAGGAATAATTTCTGCAGCAGAACTGGTGGATTTCAAGCTGCCACTGTGGGTTATGTTTTAGAAGAGAGGGCTTTAGACTAGGACTCGGTAGGTCCAGGGCGGAGCTCAGCATAGTGCAAGCGGACGCGCCGTATAACCTTAGGCCAGTCTCTCAGCTTCTGCGAGCCACATTTGTCGACATCAACAGATGGTAAACCACAGATAATTCCTGCCCTACTTCCCTCATACACCTGTTGTGAAGATAAAAAGGCACAATAAATATGAAAGCAGTTTTAAAGGGCAAACGTGATCTATATAAAGGCAGTAATTGTTGCTAAGATGCCTCTACAACCTGTATAAGTTGGAGCGGTTTCAGACGCTTTATCTCACCGGGTCCTTACGTGCCCTCTTTGAGGGAGGTGTTGTCTATGATATCCACTCCCTTTTACCCTATTTTACAGACTCAGAAAGGCAACTCAGTGAAGTTCAGCCATCTGTCTAAAGTCACCCGTTATTAAGGGATTAAACTGAAACATTAACCAAGGTCCTCTGACTCAAGCCCCCAAGGCTGAACAACTAAAGCAGGCTTGTGATAATTTCTGAGAAAGAAGAAGGAGTGATGGTCCGTGGGTGGACCGCAGCTTGGATTGCTCAACGAGGGTCACCACTTGCAATGCTCTCCTCCATCCTCGGTTTCCTTCTGACCTCAGTCTCCTCTCCTCAGTACCCAAGAGCTATCCTTGCCTGCAGAGGGCCTGAGGTGGAAGAGCTGCCCGAAGGACATGAACCAGGACAAACTACCTCTGAATTTTTTATTTCAAGAATTCTGTACTGAGTTTTTCACTGGTCAAAACTCAGAAACTGTCTGTTACCCTCAGAAACTGCTATCCAAAAAATAAAAATAAAAAAGCAGGATAATTTAGCTGATCTAAGAAACCTTTGGTGCTGAGTGAAATCCACACAAGATGTTTTCATAATAAGATTGATCGGATCTCTGCTTTTCTCAGTGATGACCAATTGCCTCGTGTTACTTTTTTTTCTAAAAATACATTTTTCCCTCTGCAGTTCCATGCTGCTTGAAAGAGTACCCACTAGCCATATACGGCTATTTAAACTAATATAAATTAAATACATTAGAATCAATTCTTCAGTTACACTAGTCACATTTTAAGTGTTCAACAGCCACATGTGGATAGTGGCTACTGCATTGGACAAAGTAGATCTAGTACATTTTCATCGGACAGTTCTATCAGAACTTCTAGAAAGTTCTACCAGACAGCACTGCTGTAGTTGGGACTTGAGAGCAATGTGAATGCTACACCAATCATGGCAAGTGGGGGCATCAGCAATGAAGCTATAAAAAGGGGCGGGGGGAGTCCCAGAGTAAATGTCGGCGATGTTTTTCTGAGAACTATCCTTGACATGAGACTTGGTCAACAGACTTAGAGTGACACAATCTTATTGGAAAGACTTTCTTCACTGAGGTGGATGGGAGTATTCTGTGAGCCTGGATCCTTAATCATTCAATTCTGATTCCTTGTTCAGATTATATTTTGGTTGCCCACTGACTTCCTATGGAACCTTAAACAGATTCTTTAACACCTTTAAATCTCCATTTTCTCACCAGTAAAAGGGGAAGAGTAATGGTATCTACCCCATAGGAGTGCTATGAGAATTAATATTCATGGCAAATAGTTATATAGAGTACTTATGATGGGCCAGGCAGTCTTCTGAGTGCTTTAATAAATAAGGCAAGTATCTTGCACAAAGTTAAGGAATCTACCTCAAGCCACATACTCGTAAGCAGCAGAGATGGAATTGAATTCGGGAAGTCTGTCTGCTAAGAAATCTAAAATGTACTTAGCATGACACCCAACAGGTAGAAAGCACTTGGGGATTGGCAGCTGTTATCATGATCACAATTCTTCTTATCACTGTAAATTATGAATTTGCAATACATTTACAGGTTGACTGATTTTATAGTCAACCTTCCTCAGCTTGGCTATGCTGAGTGCCCCTGAGATATCTTCCTTAGTCTACAAGGTTGAGAGGCAGGCCCTGGGCAATAATGGATTCACCCATCAGCTGGCCACCTTGTCGATCACTCTTTGTTTCACCATATGCCTTTTACAAGCTCTGCAAGCCCTATCTAAAAAAGGCAGTGATCTATTTTATAATAAGGAAAAGTTCTTTAGATATTTCTTTTCTTTCACCCATTTCTTAACTTCACTAACAAAGATGACCAGATCTGAGATTCCTGGGAGAGCAAAAATCAAAGCCGTGGTGAATTAATACAAATCCTAGAGACTGCTTACATGCGCGGAAGAAATGTGAATAAGAAATATTTAAATTATGCTCAAACAAAACTCCACTGTGTATGGTATCTTTCCATCTTCTGGACACTTTCGGCTTTGATTCACCCGTCAACTCAGGACTGCATGCGCTTGAGTTAAACGCAATGAGATAAAAAAAAGAATGCCTGAACTCAGTTGTCAGAAAGAGTCCACAAAGCTGCATCTCAAGGTCTTTAATTGTATTCTAAAACATCTGGCTGGTTCTATAACCCCAGAAAGAGTCTTTTCATTTAAGCAAAAGACAGGCAAAAACCATATTCCAATAAAAATAAAGCTACCCAAAGAAAATAGGCATAAAGAGCTGACAGAAACTTAAAGTGATGAAAAATAGCTAAGGGAAGTGAAATCCGAGTGCAGAGGATTGTATGGGATATGCCTCCTGCCACTTGCTGGGCCTCGTTTAGACTGGGGCTTTAAAACGACTTAGATACAATAACAAGATGATTTAAAAACGTGGCCTTCATAGCTGCTGTTAGCAATGCTACAACAGACATGAGAGCATGCGTTTGCTTCCTCGGGGCACCCAGGCATTTATTTCCATACTGTTCGTTTCTGTCGGCTCCCTGAAAATTCTTTGCACTCCACAATGTTAAGATAAACAGGACTTCCTCCCTTTAATGAGTAGAGTGGTGTCTATCACTTCAACAATTTAAGTAATAGCTACACATCAAGCCCTGGACTAATTATACTGTTTTATGATGCCTTGAAGTTTACAGAACACTTTCCCACACAGCCATTCAGTCGTCCCAAAAAGCTGGGGAGTAGATGTCATTGATTATCCCCATTTTATAGGGGAGAAAACTGAAGTTCAGAGACTCTGAGTCTCAGTTGCCTCTGAGACTCTATATGTTTCCATTTCATTGCTTATTTCTCACTCACGTTCTGTGAACTTCTCCCAGTATCGCTGAGCTGAGGCGAACTGGACTCATTGCACTGAGAGCACCTGGTGGGAGATGGTACCTTCTCCTGCTTAGCCCGTGCTATGGTTAGGATGCTTTTCTACGTGACTTAGTCTGAAATTCTGTGATTTTTTCAAGTTCTTAAGCCACAGTTTGCTAAAAGAACACATAGATTTTAACTAACATGCTACTTCCTGCCCTACTCACTATGTCAAACCTTGGGAAGCTGTGGACTTTGTCATTATTCCCTTTTATTATGCACTAATTACATGAAGAGCCTGCCTCCTCATTCACCGCAGGTCTTCCTTAACCCGCGGAATTAATCTTTGACCAAGTTTCCTGGCTTGCAGGATCTCCCAGAGGAAAGGAGATGTAACTCTGTTAGGTCACCATGTCCTTCCATTCTGAGGCCCGTGTGGATTGAATTACTCATGAGCTAGATTCCCATCTGGGTTTATCGGGGATGTGTGGCAATGGGATAAATGAAAGGACCTCGCGAGGTGATTCCAGCCCCATTTTCGTAATTTTGTTCTGTCCAAGCTTCTTTTCTTCTTTTCTCAAGGACCAGCCTAAGAAAACTGAACTATAGAGCAAATCTGTACCCCACCCCGAATCTTGGCCTTCCTTTGAGTATTCCAGCTGATTGGGGGTTGGGGGTCGAATCCCATTATACTGTGTGACAGACCCATCTGGTGTCACATGCTTTGGCCTACGTCTCATTTCACCTGGAGCTGCAGCAGATGGTAAT